CCTCCCACAGGGCTCCCCGTGACCTGGTGCCCCTCCGCCTCCCCAGGTTTCCACAGGGAACCTTCTGGTCATCCTGAGCCGCCACTACCAGGACGTGTCGTGCCTACAGTTCACGGGGGACAGCAGCCATTTCGTTTCAGGGGGCAAGGACTGCCTGGTGCTGGCTTGGAGCCTCTGCAGGTAGAGCCCTGGCCCTGGCGGCTCCCCATCCGGCTGTAGCCTCTGGCCGGGCAAGGCCTTAACCACGAGGGCGGGGAACCTGCTGTGCAGAGAGGCCAGGCCCTGGGGTGGGAAGGGGCTCCAGGTCAGCTAGGCTGGTGCCAGGAGGACAGGGCCCTGGGCAGCTACCCAGGACTTTTATTTGGGTGAGGGGGCCTGGTTGCTGCCCAGAGACAGGGTATAAAGGCGTCGAGATGTGGGCCGCCCTCCCCGCTGAGGTCCGGCTCCTCCCCACCCCCCAAGCGTGCTGCAGGCAGACCCCTCCCGGACCCCCGCCCCCCGACACGTGTGGTCTCGCCACACCCTCCCCATCACAGACCTGCACTGCGGCTTTGGTGGGCCCCTGGCCCGGGTGGCCACCGCCTCGCTGGACCAGACAGTGAAGGTAGGGCCCCGCCCTGACCCCCGCAGTGGATCTGTAAGCGGAGCCCGGCCCCTGGCGGGTTCCTAGCCCACCATGGGAACCAGAGCATCGTCTCCTCCCGCTGGCTGGTGGCTCCAGACAGCTCTTAATCCCCCGCTGCCTGCGGCCTCAAGGACCTCCGGGGGCGGGGGGTGGGCAGTCCACGCCTGTGTCGGCTTGGAAATTCCCACTTGGCCACTGCATCTGGCAGCTCCTGGCCAAGCCTCAGGGGATTTGAGGGAGTCCTCAGGTCTTCGTCCCTGGTGGGGGCAGTCCAGGGCTGACCTGGCGGTGGCCTGGGGGTTGACAGTAACTGAAGCCGGTGGTGGCGAGGGGTCCCAGCGTGAGAAACAGGTCCCTCAGCCCCCGAGCCCTGCGTGGTGACCGCTCCCATCTGAGGTTCCTGTGGCATCCAGAGTCTCCCGGCTGGGCCGCTGCGCTCCACTCAGACCCGTGCCCCCGTCCCCGCCCCCAGCTGTGGGAGGTCTCCTCCGGCGAGCTGCTGCTGTCTGTGCTCTTCGACGTGAGCATCATGGCCGTGACCATGGACCTGGCTGAGCATCACATGTTCTGCGGTGGTAGTGACGGCTCCATCTTCCAGGTCGACCTCTGTACCTGGGTGAGTGGGCGTGGGGGGCGGGGGTGTGTGCGGCTTGGGGCTGAGACGCAGCTATGCCCTGTGCTCACCGGCCCTCCTGCTTCTACAGCCCGGGCAGAGAGAGAAGAGCTTCCAGCCGGAGCAGAACCATGGGAAGGTGTTCAGAGGGCACAGGTACAGGGACGGGGTCAACCAGGAGGTGGGGGGAATCATTGTGCCCCCCTCCCCCGGGCGCCGGGTGACCTGTCTGTCCCCAGGAACCAGGTGACCTGCCTGTCAGTGTCCACGGATGGCAGCGTGCTACTCTCGGGCTCCCATGACGAGACGGTGCGCCTCTGGGATGTGCAGAGCCAGCAGTGCCTCAGGACGGTGGCTCTCAAAGGTGGGCGCACACAGCCCTCCTGGAGGCCCTGGGCCCGGGGGGCCTTGTCCACACCGTGGGCGGCCCGGGGCTGGAGCAAGGACCCAGGGTTTGCCTCGTGGAGGGTGGGGACGGGAATGCACGGGAGTGTCAGGGCCAGGTGGGTGGCTGGAGGAGCGGAGGGTGGGTCCCGACCTCCGCCTGCCTGCCGCCGCCCCAGGCCCCGTGACCAACGCCTGCATCGTGCTGGCGCCCGTCAGCATGCTGAGCTCCGACTGCAGGCCCAGCCTGCCCTTGCCACACTTCAACAAGCACCTGCTGGGCACGGAGCACGGGGATGAGCCGCGCCACGGTGGCCTCACGCTGCGCCTGGGCCTCCACCAGCAGGTGCGTCTCATCCCCAGCAGGGACCCCCACCCTTCGGCCTCAGCCTCTGCCGTGTGGCTCTGGGTGCCGTTGGGTCGGGTCCTGGTGGGGACCTTCCACATGCTCCTTTGCTGAAGAGGCTTCTCTGCCATTGTCGTTGAGGCCAGCCTGATGGCTGGTCCCTGACCTCAGGAAGCCCTGGAACCTTCCAGAGAGGGAGCGGGCCACGCTTCCCTTTGAGAACAACAGGGTGTTGTTCCAGGGGCCGATTAGGACCCAGAGGCTGTGCACGGGCAGCCACCTTCTCCAGCTGGCCGGCGGGAGCGCTCACAGCCCCAGTGCCCATGGGACCCCCTTCATGACGGCCTGCCTGCCCCTCCAGGCCCCTGGGGCCCCTCCCTGCCTGTCCTCAGCACGGCCACCCTTGCCCACTGAGGCCGGGCTCTGTCTGCTGTCTCTGCGCCTCAGAGTCACACGAGCCTGCGGGGCTGTCCACACCCCTCCCGGCGGCCTGATGGATGGATGTGCCAGGCTCCGGGCTGCTGGCCCAGGGCAGCGTGCCCAGACAGGGTCCAGCGAGAGACGGATGGCCTCCGGGCGGCGGCAGGGGCCATCATTTCACTGGGCGGCTGAGCCTTCCCAGGGCTGGAGGCACTAGCCGACCGTTTGTCTGCACGTCCCTCGAGGCTTGATGGGAGTGGCCAGCTAACGCGGCCCCTTCTGTTCCAGGGGTCAGAGCCCAGCTACCTGGAGCGGGTGGAACAGCTGCACGGGGTGATGTGCAGCACATTGGAGAAGGTGGGAGGGGAGAGGCCCCAAAATGGGGGAGGGGAGGGGCCCAAGATGGGGGCTTGTCCGGAGGGAAGGGCGGCAGGGGGCCTTTGCCTGGGTTGGAAGGGATGTGCCCCCGCCCCACCCTCCGCCATGGACCGTGGGGACAGTGGCCCTCAGTGCCAGCCTCTCCCCACTGCCTGCCGGTGGGATGTCTGAGGCCTCCTCCCGCTCTGAGCCTTCCCCCGCCCCTCCCCCAGAGCGTGCTGGGTGGCCAGGACCAGCTGCGGATCCGCGTGGCAGAGCTGGAGGACGAGGTGCGGGACCTGCGCAAGATCAACCGCGACCTCTTCGACTTCTCCACGCGCATCATCACCCGGCCGGCCAAGTGAGGCCCAGTGAGCGCACGCACAGCCTGGACCCGCCCCCCGGGCTCCCCCCAGGGCCCTCCCGACTGGCTGGCAGAGTCTGAGGCCCAAGCCCGTCCTCTGCCAGCGTCCTATCATTTGGATTTGCCACCCCCCACCGGGGGGCATGGTCCAGTGTTGACCCGCTGTCCTTCCGTGACCTCCCGTGTCGTGTTGGTGCTGTGCCACGTCTAACAAAAGAGCTGAAATCCTGTTTCTCGGCCTCCTTGTGCCCACGCCGGGCTCAGGACCCCGGTGGTGGGACCTGCCTCAGGGACCTCGCCGTAGCCATCCCAGCGTCCGAGTTTCAGATCTAGCGTCAAGAAGCCTTGGTTCTCACCTCTTAACTCACCTGCTGCCCCAGTGCCTTTCCATGACCCAGAGGCCATGCCACCAGTGGGACAGGGCAGGGGCATCCTGGGAGCTGCAGGACGAGGTCCGCAGGGGCAGGAGTGGCTCAGGGACAGCAGTGCAGTCACACTGGTCCTGTCACCCCAACCTGGGTCAGGGCAGCTGGCTCGGGTGGCAGCCAATTCTGGGCCAGGGTCATCTTGACCAGAACCTTCTTGGTGTCAGGGGCCGGAGGGAGGCCAGGCCCCACCCCCACTGCCCAGGGTCAGGCAGGGACACCGCCAGCTGGCACCCGGAGCCCAGCCGAGAGGTGGGCCCTGAGGCTGCCCATGGAACCTTGCAGAAAGCTGCCCCCAAATGACAGTCTGCTTAATGGTCCAGAAAATCCACATGACTTAGCAGGTGCTGTAATGACCTCGGCTGGGGGCCAGCGCCTGATTCATGTCTTTAGCTAGTGGGCATCCCTGCTGGGGCTCTGCACCCACCCTCATGGCCCGCCTTGCCCAGGGAGCTGCCAGGTGAGGAGTCCTGCTGGCTGATAGGGTCCACATTGTAGGTGCAGCCCCTGGGCCCCCTGGTGGATCCCTAGAAGTGAGACGGGGCGGGGGTCGCGAGGCAGCTTGTCAGAGCAGAGCTGGGGATCGGAGCTGCACCCTCCTCCCCAGAGCTCCCAGGGCTGTTTTCCTGCCTGCAGTGTGCGCCCAGTCTGTCTTCACCCCCTTGGTTTCCAGAGGGTCCAGAAGATTAGGAGAGGGCTTCAGAATTTGGCTGAGATTCCCCCGGGGCCAAGGGCCACCTCACTTGCCCGGGCCCCTCATGCCCTGGCCCTGGTGGGGGTCCCTGGCAGCCCTGGTGCCGAGCCTGGGGCATGCTGCCCCACGCCCTCAGCTGTCTGCACTCGCCCTGTGATTCAGTGGCTTGGAAGGAGATGCCAGTTCTTGAGGCCCCGGTGTTGCTCTTTGTCTGGTGGAGTCCCAGGCAGGAGCTGGCAGGTGGCCAGGAGGTGGGCTGGGGATCGCCCAATGTCTGGCAGCCACCTCCTGGGCTCTGGGTTTTTCCCTGGGGAGCAGGGGTATTGTTCTCATTGCCCTGAACCTTCAGCTGCCGCCTTGGGTCCTGGGGTTCCTCCTGGCTCATCTGCCACACCTATGGCTGGGGGTGAGGGTAGGCATCCCTGGGTGGGGTCCCCACCCCTGGGGCTGTCACTTTAATGACTCAGCCCTGAAGTGGGGCGGGGGGGGGGGGGGGC